AGCGAGGACGCTTATGAGGATAAAAAGCGCTTCCATTGTCTCTGTGGGTCAACCGTGCAAATGTTTATTTTGCACTTGTCTCATTTATAGCTCACGGCCTCTCTGCCGAGTGGAGTTGACCTGTCCTGCGATTGGCTAATACGGTATTGCGTAAAGCGTGCCGATATGAAAAAAATCAATTCAAACAACATTGGGGACAACTTGCACAGAACTTGGTTTGCTTACCGTATTTTAGGAAAAAAATGGGTCAAAATATGTTAGCGATTCTCCATAATTGCAACCACCGATAAAATCGGTGGCTCCTTGAGGCGCAGTAGAAAGGACAACGATGTACGAGTCGGACAGTAGCGTTGCTACGCAACAGAGGGGAATCCCGCGGCGTGCAGTTTGCTCATAAGCAAGGTCGCGGCGTCAGTTAGCGGTTCGTTGTCGTGAAGGCCTTTTCACGACCTTGTGGGGAAAAAAATCTGGCCGTCATCGTGAAGTTTACGTTCTAAAGGTATTCACTGTAAGCAAAATCGGCGAATGGAAAATGAACTCTATGAAATCGGGACTTCAATTGATAAGTCACCTCCGGTGACCTTGAAAGAGAGCAACACGTGACTGCGCTTTTATTTGAAAGTGAGCTTTTATTGGCTTTCACGGCACATACGCTGCCACTTAAAGGTACAGGAAACTGCAACAGTCACACGTTTTAAAGGAAGTACAAGATGACATTTGACATGCAATGTGAAGAGTGCTCTTATTCACGTGATCGCCGCTCTGTAGAAAAAACCCCCCAAAAAACCTAACTTGTGTTTTGGAGCTCTTTGAGCAGATCTTTTTTGACATCCCAGTTTGAAGGCCATGTTTTTTTGATGCTGGGCCGCTCCTTCAGCAAATTGTAATATTGAGCCAGTTTAGGAGAGGGGAATCCCGCGGCGTGCAGTTTGCTCATAAGCAAGGTCGCGGCGTCAGTTAGCGGTTCGTTGTCGTGAAGGCCTTTTCACGACCTTGTGGGGAAAAAAATCTGGCCGTCATCGTGAAGTTTACGTTCTAAAGGTATTCACTGTAAGCAAAATCGGCGAATGGAAAATGAACTCCATGAAATCGGGACTTCAATTGATAAGTCACCTCTGGTGACCTTGAAAGAGAGCAACACGTGACTGCGCTTTTATTTGAAAGTGAGCTTTTATTGGCTCTCACGGCACATACGCTGCCACTTAAAGGTACAGGAAACTGCAACAGTCACACGTTTTAAAGGAAGTACAAGATGACATTTGACATGCAATGTGAAGAGTGCTCTTATTCACGTGATCGCCGCTCTGTAGAAAAAACCCCCCAAAAAACCTAACTTGTGTTTTGGAGCTCTTTGAGCAGATCTTTTTTGACATCCCAGTTTGAAGGCCATGTTTTTTTGATGCTGGGCCGCTCCTTCAGCAAATTGTAATATTGAGCCAGTTTAGGGAAACGCTCAGGACACAACCTTGAATAAAAAGAGATAAGTGTTACTTTTGTTTTGATTTATGTAGATATAATTTTTTTCATGTATTGATTGCCACCACTCCCTTGATGCACTCACCCATAGTAGAAGGCATAGGCGATGTTTGGAGTCACACGTTTTAAAGTACAAGATGACATTTGACATGCAATGTGAAGAGTGCTCTTATTTATGTGATCGCTGCTCTGTAGAAAAAAAAACCCAAAACCTAACTTGTTTTTGGGAGCTCTTTGAGCAGATCTTTTTTGACTTCCCAGTTTGGAGGCCATGTTTTTTTGATGCTGGGCCGCTCCTTCAGCAAATTGTAATATTGAGCCAGTTTAGGGAAACGCTCAGGACACAACCTTGAATAAAAAGAGAAAAGTGTTACTTTTGCTTTGATTTATGTAGATATATTTTTTTTCATGTATTGATTGCCACCACTCCCTTGACGCACTCACCCATAGTAGAAGGCATAGGCGATGTTTGGAAAAACGACAACATCAGCCAAGGAAAAGGTCTTTCCTGCCAGGAAAGGTCCCGTCTGCTGCAAAATGGCAAAGGCGGATAACAGAACAAATTCAAAACCCATTTTATGAAAAAAAAAAAAAAAAAAAAAAAGGGCGTCAAGGGTCAAGACTGCATTTTGTGCTTATCTTTTACCTTCAAGTACCTCTCCCACAGGCTGAGCTCGAGCGCCACAGCATTTTTGTTCCTCTCCTTTGCAGACTCGTGCCTCTCCCCTTCTGGAAACTTCCATTCGTAATAGATGACATCACCTGCCAAATGTCAACAATTTTAGAGATCAGGTCAAACCGGACTGGTGAGACCATGTGAGGGTGCGGACAGTCATTTCTGCATTTTATTTTCATGTTTTTGACTGCACTTGCGGCGGGCGTATGGGTACAGTATTTTGTTTCATGAATTTGTACCAGCCTCCCAAAATCCAAACACATTTTTGTATCATGTTTTTGTTTAGTGAGAGCTCGTGAGGGCGTGGACACTCATTTCTGCATTTTATTTTCATGTTTTCGACTGCACTTGCGGCGTATGGGTACAGTATTTTGTTTCATGAATTTGTACCAGCCTCCCAAAATCCAAACACATTTTTGTATCATGTTTTTGTTTAAAAAAGAAAAATCGCAATCTATAATTATTCTTTCTAAAAAAGCATATCGTGGTGACAATAATATTTGCAATGTGAAATATTGCCAACAGATTTTGGTTTCAAGTCAGTGGACGTTGGGCTGCTGCTTCTGGAGTATGTGCCTTGGCCACCAGGCGGCAGTATAATACAAAGAGGTATTGTGTGTGTCTTAACTTCACATTAATCCTAAAATGGTCCAAATAACCGTGTCTTATGATTTGACTCAGCACCCCTCACATGTGATCCTGAGTTGGATTAACATCAGGGATCTTTTTTTTTTTTAACATGTCACGGGAACCCGGTCAAAGGACTGCCACAAGGGCAATGCTGTGTTTTGAACAGCCCCAAATCTCTCGGGGTGGCTCGCTGCTAACGAGCATGTTTGGGAAGGTAGAGCGCGTTGCGATGCCAACAGCGAGGAACTTCGAAACAAAGGCGATCAAGCGTTAAATCCCGAGATGTGATGAAGTGAAGGATGGAAACCTGTAAAGTGAGTCAGATTCTTTGCATACCGAGCTTCTGGCCAAGTGGGACGGCCTCGAACACGCGCTGGTACATCAAGGCCTGTTCGTTGGGGCATGTTGGGATCAGCTCGTTTCCTTGCTTCTTGAAGTTACTCTGTCACATGTTAAAGGAAAACAAAGTCAATTTTTTGAGCAATGTCGGCTGCCTCAGACATTGTTGAGTCCACGCCCCTCGTTTTGAATGTGTTCGCAAGTTTATCTGAGGACAAGTCGTCATGTTGGCCTTGGTGGTGGGAAGCAACTTTGTTCGTGTACTCTTAAGTAGATTTGTCAGTACTTTACTGGAGTATTCATTCTTTGGACTCTTACTCGCCCCATTGGTTAACCTCTGAATTCTTTGTCGAAATTGCTTTGTTACGTTTTCTACCTCATAAATAGATATAAATAGGAGTTAAGGCAAAGGCGGTGGAGTTTTTGGACTTAGAGGGCGGCAAATACCGAGGCAGCATTTGGAACACGATGGCGGAACATGCACCAGGAAGCATTTTCGACAATGACGCAGCAGCAGTCAGTTTGCTCCTTCCGTGGCACCGTTTATGTGACTTGGTTGATGTTATCAGCTGCAGAAAGGGTTTGCTTCTGTCTCCTCAAAAATTCGAATGTGAAAAATGCCGACAGGTTTGCTACCTTATTGTTCAGTTTTTGTCAGTGTCTAATTTTGCATCTTTATTTCTCGTCCTTTTACAATGTTGGTAAAGAAATGCCACTTAAAGTCTGACATCACCCCACCCC